ACACAACTAACAATGAACCATATAAAACTATGAAGAATTATGTTGTTAATGAATGCGGTTTGAGTTTAAGTTTGGTGTAGGAATATGTTCTTTTTTTTTAAAGATTTTATTTATTTATATAAAATATAAATATCTCTCTCACAGAGAGAGAGAGAGGAATCACAGTAGACGGGGTGGCAGGCAGAGGGAGAGGGAGAAGCAGGCTCCCTGCTGAGCAGGGAGCCCGATGCGGGGTAGATCCCAGGACCCTGGGATCATGACCTGAGCCGAAGGCAGACACTCAACCGACTGAGCCACCCAGGTGCCCCTAGTGTAGGAATATGTTCTAATGGTGCAGCTGCTTTGACAGAAAAACATCCTGAAATTATTACCCAAATTAAATAGCTTGCATGAGGATGTAAATCAACACACTGCTTTGTTCATCAAGAAAATTTTACAATGAAAACATTTCAGGTTAAATTAAACAGGGTCTAGTTCATATCAAAAAATTATGAATTATGCAAAAGCTAATGTATTAAATTTGAGATTATTCTCTTTTTTATGTGATAACATGGAAACTGATCATCAACAACCATTGTTGCATACTGAGATAGGGTGCTTCCCAAAGGGGAAAGTTCTATTAGGGATGTTTGAATGTAAAACAAACTTTTGGTGTTTCTAAAAAGTAAAAACCACCCACCCTTATAAGGGCCCAACTTTTTGAAAATGTGGTTTGAACAACAGACTTGTTTATTTGTGTGATTTTTTTGGCATTTTTGATGATGTTACTACTTCTTTTTTTAAAAAGATTTTATTTATTTATTTGAGAGAGAGAGAGAATGAGAGATAGAGAGCACGAGAGGGAAGAGAGTCAGAGGGAGAAGCAGACTCCCTGCCGAGCAGGGAGCCCAACGTGGGACTCGATCCCAGGACTCCAGGATCACGACCTGAGCCGAAGGCAGTCGCTTAACCAACTGAGCCACCCAGGCGCCCGATGTTACTACTTCTAAGCAAGGAAAGACTACAATATGATTTTCAATGGCAGATAAGATCAGAGAGTAAGAATAAAAGCAGCTTGGAAGAAAAGAGTTTCCATACTGTTATACCATGCTCCATCATTTAACAGCGATTACCAAAAAAGTAGGCGATGATCTTGTTATTGCACATGTGTAAAATGATATAGCGAAATGACTTACAGATTTGACAAAATTGTTTAAATTTTATTTCCATCAAAAGAAGATCCATGCATGGGAAATTCACAGATCCTGAAACCATTGCTTTCATTGAAAAATAATTTGCAGCACTATCAACAATAGCCAGACTATGGAAGGAGCCCAAATGCCCATTAACTGATGACTGCATAAAGATGTGGTAAATGTATATATACAATGGAATATTACTCAGCCATCAAAAAGAATGAAATCTTGCCACTTACAACGACATGGATGGAGCTAGAGTGTATTATGCTAAGCGAAATAAGTCAGTCAGGGAAAGACAGATACAATATGATTTCACTCATATGTGGAATTTAAGAAACAAAACAGATGAACATTTGGGAGGTGGAAAAAAAGGAGAGAGAGAGAAACCATGAAAGACTCACTCTCTCTCTTTCTCTCTCTTTTTTTTTTTTTTTAAGATTTACTTATGTATTTTAGGTGGGGAGGGCAGAGGGTAGAGGGAGAAGGAAAGACAGAATTGTCCACTGAGCGTGGAGCCCAACTCAGGGCTCTATCTCATAACCGGGATGAGATAGAGCCCTGAAATCAGCTGAAATCAAGAATCAGACGCTTAGTTGACTGAGCCACCCAGGGGCCCCAACAGGGACTCTTAACTATAGAGAACAAATTGAGGGTTGATGGAGGGAGGTGAATGGGGGATGAGATAGATGGGTGATAGGTGTTAAGGAGGGCACTTGTTATGATGAGCACTGTGTGTTATATGCAAATGATGAACCACTGAACTCTACTACTGAACCAATATTGAACTGTATGTCAACTAATTAAAATTAAAAAAAAGATAATTTAACTGTACAATTGTTGAACAATGCAAGTTTGAACCGTGCAGGTCCACTTCTATGCAGAGTTTTTTCGGTAAATACAGTACTGTCAATGTCTTTTCTCTTCCTTAGGATTTTCTTTTTTTTTTTTTTAGAGATTTTATTTATTTATTTGACAAAAAGAGACACAGTGAGAGAGGGAACACAAGCAGGAGAAGTGGGAAAGGGAGAAGCAGCTTCCCGTGGAGCAGGGAGCCCGATGTAGGGCTCCATCCCAGGACCCTGGGATCATGACCTGAGCTGAAGGCAGATGCTTAATGACTGAGCAACCCAGGCACCCCTTCCTTAGGATTTCCTTAATGACATTTTCCTTTCTCCAGCTTACTTTATTATAATAACACAGTATATAATACATATAACATACAAAATATAAGTTAATTGTTTATGTTACCAGTAAGTCTTCTGGTGGACAGTAGGCTATTAGTAGTTAAGTTTTGGGGAAAGTCAAAAGTTACACAAGGATTTTCAACATCATGGGTGTCCCCAACCCCCACGTTGTTCAAGGGTCAGCTGTATCACTTTACAGGATAAATTGGTGGAACTGGCAATGGATGGAGAGGTGAGATGTATTTTGAAAATCAGAATCATTTGCTTCATTTTGGGTAAAAGTATAATATGAAAATCCTGAGCTTCGTGGAACTGCTTTAAAATTTCTTCTCCTAGGAGCGCCTGGGTGGCTCAGTTGGATGAGCGTCCGACTCTTGATTTCAGCTCAGGTCATGATCTCAGGGTCATGAGATAGAGCTCCAAGTTGGATTCTGTGCTCGGCGGGGAGTCTGCTTGAGATTCTCTCTCTTCCTCTCTCTTCCCCTCCCCCCAGTGTGCTCACGCTCTCTCTCTCTCCAAGATAAATAAATAAATCTTTAAAAAAAAGTCTTCTTCCATTCCCATCAACAAACCTCTATGAGACTGATTTCTCCACTAAAGCTCTTATTAAGACAAAACATAAAAGCAGTTTTGACGACCATTGTACGTTGCGAGTAGCATTATATTCCATTCTGCATGGATTAAATAGGCTAGCAAGCCATAAACATGTGCATTTGTCCATTAAAAACCCATAATCTTGATATACTGTTTATTTGAAGTAGGGAATCACTATATTTCACTTATAATTTTCTGTTTAATTGTGAATGCAGAACGACAAAAAGTCATTAGCAATAGCAATTCTCTATATTAACGTCTATAATATGCACACTGAATGAACAACATGTAGAGATTTTGCATTTATTTTACTTTTTCCTATGTTATGTTTGATTATATTATTATATTACATTAGGTTTTAAAAAGTTTTGTATGTAATATAATTTATCTAGTAACTCATTTTTTTAAAACTTTACAAATGGATTGATTTGCAACAGATAATTTTTTTATGTTGAAAATGTAATTTTAATAGATAATTCTTCATCTTACATAGGAGCACAGTAAAATACACCACATTCTGAAGAAACTCCAGAAGTTATGAGAATCAAGAGTGGGGGAAATTCAGACGGGCTACAATATCCATCACCTTAAATTGCGAGAGACAAAGGTTCCAACCTGCGGGTTAACATTTACATACTCAGGACTGGCTACACTGATGACTTACAAAGAACAAGGATAGGGAATTCGATATGGAGAAGGGTGGGAAAGAACAGTTTTTTGAGGGGAGGAACTCTGTCAATGCAGAAAAAAATTACTGAATATCAAACAATAGGAGCTCCCATAGCAAATACTGAAGGATGAAAGAATCATTAACTGAGGATCTGATACTCTCAAAGGAAGAAACCTTTCAGATGACACTTACGCAAGGTGGCTGCTTGAGATCTGCTCATCAGGTCTATAAGGAAGCCTCATAAATGCCTCAGCAACCCCAAATGATTATCAGATTAGTGTTTCCTAGTAGCACATACCAGTGGTTACACATGAAGTTTCCAGACAAGAACTAAGAAAAAGGTCATATCCCAAATGCCAGACACAAACAAATGTGGCACAACATGTGAATCCTACACAGTCAGTCACAACTGCCGCTTTGCTGTGACTCTCCTGTACAGTAAGTTTCAAACATCATGGCAAGACACCTATGATCATCTAATCAGACAACACAAACACATTTATTCAAATTTCTAGGAGGTAAAAAAAAATATCAAATACCAATGCTTTATGCATGCTCAGGGCCAGCTTATAAATACTCCATTCAGTGACATCTTAACACAAGTTTGCATCAGGGAAAAGAAACTGGCAAAATCCACCTCCTGCCGGATCAACTTGTCATATGGTGAAGACCAAAAGAGAATGTTCCATCAGTTTTAATTTTTAAATACGATTGTCACATTGGGAAAATGAAATAAACACAGTAAAATAAACTGTACAAAGGCAAAGTAGAATAACAAAAAATATTTTACTAAAACATAAGATTTACAGAAGTTTCCAGACAAGCCATACAAAATGGTCACAAGCTTTTTCTTGAAGGAAGGATTCTACACTTGACAGCAAGTCACAATGTTATTAGTGAGGGCTGTGATGTTTGTTTAATATTCCCATTTTGGTTCAAACAATCAAGCTTGTCCATCTACAGTGTCTAAATAAAGTTAGACTTGGCTAGAGAGCATATTCTAAAGAACTGGTTAGCTGCTTTTAATCAATGCAATTAGATCACCATAAAAAGGGGGAAAGGAGCCCAAAAAATTAAACTACCTTTCCCCCTCAAAAAAAGTAATAAAGAAAAACACCCACACCCCTGCAGCTAACCCTGACAACTACCTTCACTCACAGTGCTTTATACTCAAACCACGATGGGGAAACGAATAAAAGCAGAGAAGGGCCACTGCTTTTAAACGTTTCACAACAATCCGGATGGTACTTCTAGCCTCTGCTCATGCTTTACAACAGTGAATCAGGACAAGACATAGGTTTGCTAATGTGCATTTAATCACCAAAGGACTGAAGATGTCTGGGCTTTTATTCTGTAATGTTTCTAAATGCAAACAAAAAAGGAAGAAGTCTTGGCAGAACAGGAGAACAGGAGAACTTGATGATCAGATCGATTTTAAATATTATTCATGGCATATAGCCTAGTCCATGCTCTAGCTGTTTCTATGGCTTGGGCTTCCTTGGTCTTCCACTGCTTCGCTACATCATTTGCTAATGGATCATCTGGATTGGGAGCACTTAACAAAGCCTGGATCGATAGCAGAACTGTGCGGATCTGCAGTGCTGGGGACCACTTATCTTTCAAAATATCTAAACACATTCTTCCCAACTTGTCTACATTAGGATGATAAATTTTGGTCATGAAACGTACTTTCGGGGCTGCCATCGGGTATTCTTCTGGTAGGAATAGTTCAAGCTTAAAAGTCCCTCCCTCAAAGGGGGAATCCTGGGGGCCAGCAATGACCACATGAAAATAACGGGCGTTGCTCTCATCTGGTTCTGCTTTAATGCCAGGAACTGGTTCTGCCAGCAAACGCTGGGTTTCCTTGATAATCCTGAGGGGCAGCCCGGCCATCTTGGGTCAGATCCCGAGTTCGGCCTCTTGTCTCGACTCCGGCTCCGCTCGCCTCACGCACGAGTGGAAGTCCAGGGCTCCACTTCCGGCAACAGATAATTTTTTTAAATACTGGTTCTTCACCATAGTGTGAGAAGCTCTGTACATGTCACCTTCATCTGTAAGGTTAGGATAAACTGCCAACTTGAATCCAACACAGTTTTGGATGGTGTAAAGTCCAATGAGTTAGGGAAAAAAGGACCACTCAGTCTATGGCCATATCATCCTGAATGCACCCAATTTTGTCTGATCTGGGAAGCTAAGCAGGGTCAGGCCTGATTAGTACTTAGATGGGATTCCACCTAGGAATCCTAGGTGCTGTGGGCTTAAAACAGAACAAAACAAAACAAAAAACAGAAAGGGACCACTCATTCCTGCAGGAAAGAGGAGCTGTTTGGGGTTTCACTTTTTCATGTTTCCCACTAGAGGGCAGTCAAGAAGTACTTATAATTGACGGTGCATCTTAAAGCCAAAATTGCTCTTAAACCAAGAGACTGAAACATGTAGGAAACAATAAAACAGAGCAAGCGCAATTACCCAGTGACCATTTATTGGGTATAGTTAACACTACCAAACTGTACGTTTAAAAATGCTTAAGATGGTAACATTTGTATTATGTGTATTTCCCCACCACTGAGAGAGAGACAGAGAGAGAGAGAGAGAGAGAGAGAGAGAGAGAGAGAGAGACTCTTTAGGCCAGAAGCCCAGAGTGGGCAGGAACCGTCCACATTGACAACTCCAGCTCACAAGATGTGGAGAGAAGTGGAGACACACAGGCTGACCCATCACAGGGGCAGTTGAGCCTCTTTTCTGGGGCACACACACTTACACACACATGTACTTTTATTCCGGTATTGCTTTACCCTACTTTTCCAAAGTCAACTGTTTTAGGACCCCTCTCTCCATAATTACTCAGTTCATTCAACATTTACCAACGACCTCCTTGTTCCAGGCACCTTGGAAGGCTCTGGAGGACAGCTGTGAATGAGCTTCTGCCTCAAGGTGTTTAGAGAAGATAGGTCTTTCTGTTTGGGGCCTTGAAGTTCCTGCATCTCCTTCAATCACTGGCAAGTGGGCCAGTTGGAGCTGTTTCTCAAGTGTTCTCTTGAGAAGGTGAAGAGACAAGGAAGCAAGAGGGAGAAGAGCTCCAGAACCACAGAGCGATCCAGGGTTGCCTTGACAACAAGATCGGGGCACATGGCCAAGCCCTTGAGGTGCCAGGGCTGGACTCAGCCTTGGCCAACTGTCTGTGGAAGGATGTCACCTTTTGACTCTAACAGAACTTCACTGAAGTGATTCTTTGAGATCCAAAGGAAGAGGGGCCCATGCTTTGAGAAACTCATCCCACGTCTATTCCAGCCTTTTTCCAATTCTGTAGGAACACAGGAATGTCCTACTCTGAAGGTGGGCTGAGACCTCCGGGGGCAGTGTCGGGTATGGGTAAGGGTTTGACTTAAGAATCAAACAAGCTTTAGTTGAAACTCAGGCTGTGCCTCGTGGTAGCTAACCTCGCACAATGTCTCTATGTCTGAGCCCCACTATCTTCATTTTTAAAGTGGAAACAATATTAGCAGCACCTCAAAGGGTGTCGTAAGGATGACATTATAAAATGTATGTGAAGTTCTCAGCACAGTGCCTGGCATGCAATAAGCACACAATAAAGCTGAACTGGAGCTCAGAGTGCATCTTACCCCACTCCATTCTACAGATGGGAGAACTGAGGCCCAGTAGCCTAGTAATGGTGGAAAGATGATGGATTTGGGAGTTAGACCTGGTTTGAATCCTGACTCTACCCCTGGACTTTAGGAAGTTCCCTTAATCTCTCTAAACCTCAGTTTCCTCATCTGTGAAATGGGACAATCAGGCTGTTCTGAGGACTAAATGGAAGATATTCTGTAAAGCACCTGGTATCAGGGCCTGGCATATAGTAGTTGCCCAGTAAAATGTTCCTTTGGGTCCTTTCTTCTCTTTGGTTGTCCAGAGTCATATTTGGCTCACCCTTTCTTTCTTTCTTGCTTTCTTGCTTTCTTGCTTTCTTGCTTTCTTTCTCTCTTGCTTTCTTTTTCTTTTTTTTTTTTCAGTAGGATCCGTGCCCAGTATGGAAGCCAACGTGAGGCTGAGATCAAGACCTGAGCTGAGATCAAGAGCTGGACTCTCAACAGAATGAACCACCCAGGTGCCCCGGTCCTAACTTTAAAAATGCAAGCCTCAGGGAGTTCATGCTGACATTCATGATGCAAACATGGACGTCAAGCAGCTTTATCTCAACTCAAATCCAATTCCTGACCTTGGGCAAGTTGCTGATCCTCTTTCTGCTGCATTTAACTTGTCTGTAAAATGAGGATAATAATAGTGCCTAGCTCCTGGTGCTGGGTGAGGATCAAGCTCTTTTGAAGTGACCCATAAATGTTTATTAGCATGTCCTGCAACCACGGCTCTGATCTGTAAGAGACTCTCAGGTAGATAAGTAGTAATGCCCATATTCCTTCCTTCCTTCGGTCCTTCCTTCGTTCCTTCGTTCCTTCCTTCCTTCATTTTTTGTTCATTTGTGCGCCAGGCTATTAGAGCTGGGATTCACAGAATTAGACACAGAATCATTCCCTGCTCTTGAGTTGCTCACAGTCTACAAAACTTAAACGATGGCTACCTGATTGTGTGTCAAGGGCTTTGAGGAGAGGCCAGAGTCTGCAGTCAGACTTTAGCCCTGCCACTCTGTGTCCTTACCCGAGTGACTTAACCTCTCTGTGCCTCTATAAAATAATATAAAATGGGGATTATCAGTCCATTTCATTCATGGGATTGTTATGAAGTTTGAATGGTTTCGTAGTTGCAATGTGCGTAGAACAGACTGGCACATGATAAGCAAACTATGTGGGCTTGTTCAGTCGATAGAAGCATAAGCAGAAATGACATCAGCAGCATTCAGGGAAGAGGGTGGAGTCCTAGAGGAAGAAATAGTGAAACCCAAAGAAATTCAGTGCACTTCCTACATGTAAGTCCCCCTACATTTCACGTTTCGATATAGTCCCACCAGCCAAACCTGGAAGGGACCCTGGAGAATATTTTGTTAAAGATTCACGGTTTGAAGATGAGAAAACTCAGGTCAGGTGAGGTGAATAGAATAATGACCCCCAAATATGTCCAAGTCCTAATCCTCAGAACCTATGTTTATGTGACCTTACATGGCAAAAAGGACTTTGCTTGTGTGATTAAATTAAGGATTTTGAGTTGGGGAGATTATCCTGGATTTTCCGGGTGGGCGCAATGTAATCACAAGGGTCCTTGTAAGGGAAAGAAGGAAGCAGGAGAGTCAGAGAAGTCAATGTGATGATAGAAACAGGGGTTGGATTGATGTGGGGCCAATGAGTCAAGGAACTCGTGCATGTGTGAACAGGGAGCTCTGATTTCCCCATACCCCTTTACCCCATGGGTGCCCTTCCATTGATCTGAGGCTTCATTCCCTGCTGATTGTCCCAGGAACCAAATTTGCTACTTTCAGCTTTGATGAAGTGCCCTCCTCCCCACCCCCGCCTTTAGAGACAAAGCCAGAGCTTTACTCTCAGAAGTGGAAACTAGGAGTGCCAACAGGAAATGAGTGCTATTAGCTATCTGGAAATCTTTTCAAAAGAAAGAACTCTCCCTAGATGAGATTGGTGAACGAGGCTGATGAGATTTGGGAAATGTAGCCAATAGCAGATAAGCAGTCTTCTAATTGTCATGGGTCCTCTGTGAGAAAGATTTGGTGGCTGGCTTGGAAAATTGATAGGAGACAATAATCAGAACTTGTGCCTCCACAACTACACAGGGCAGAGGAGGCCTTGCAAGGCTGGGAAACCAAATTTATATATTTGGACAGGAATATCTCTAGAGTGGAGAAGAGAAAATAGGCTACTGCTGCTGGAGAGAACACAAGGGTTCACCAGTGATCAAGGAAACAGGCCCTACTGGACTTGGTAGATGGGAACACAACCGGACACCAAGCTCTTGGAAGGCTCTTTGTTAGTTTCTACCAAGAACTCTCCTTTAGGAAACTCATAATAGGGGATACATAAAAGATATTCAGCTGCTAAGATGTTCATTTTAGCATCATTTATCTTGGTGCAAATACTCAGCAATATGGAATTGGTTAAATAGATGATGGTATGGCTATGTAGTAGGACACTATGCCAGACATTTTTTTTAAAATGTCGAAGACCATTTTAAGACATGAGATGTTAGTACACACTCGTAATTGAAAAGTGGGTTGTAAGACAGCATGAGAGTGGGATCCCATCTTTTTTGTTTGTTTGTTTTGTTTTGTTTTTAAAAAGCATACAAAGCCTGGAAGGACAATCACTAAAATGCTACAAATAGCACCCTTTGGATGATGGGATTATGGGAGGTTTTAGTGTTTTATCTTTTAGCTTATAGGATATTTTCAATATTCAATCATTAGCATATGTTACCTTTGCAAATGAAAGTTATCTATAAAAAATAATTAAAAGGAAGTGACCAATTGGTTATATCTAGTTTGTGCCTGGATCTTCTCATACATTATCTCACTTATACTTTAACACAGTATGAGGGGGCGCCTGGGTGGCTCAGTCGTTAAGCATCTGCCTTTGGCTCAGGTCATGATCTCAGGGTCCTGGGATGGAGCCCCGCATCAGGCTCCCTGCTCGGCGGGAAGCCTGCTTCTCCCTCTCCCACTCCCCCTGCTTGTGTTCCCTCTCTCACTGTCTCTCTCTCTCTGTCAAATAAATAAATAAGTAAAATCTTTAAAAAAACAAAACAGTATGAGTTAGGTGTTATTGTGCCCACTTTATTTACCGGGAAACTGATACAAAGACTTGCTCAAGGTCACACAGTTAAATAAGTGCCGGAGCCACGATTTCAAACCAATTCCTTCACACTCATAGGCCACCCTCTTTCTACAACACCACTTGCTTCCCCCATAAAGAATTGCCAGTTCTCTCTGTGCT